TCTTTCTTTCTTTCTTTCTTTCTTTCTTTCTTTCTTTCTTTCTTTCTCTCTCTCTCTCTACCTCTCGCGCTCTCTCTCTCTCTCCTCTTTCTCTCTCTCTCTCTCTCTCTCTCTCTGTCTTTCTTTCTTTCTTTATTTATGTGTTTCTTTCTTTCTTTCTTTCGTTCTTTCTTTCTTTCCTTCCTTCCTTCCTTGGTTTTCTTTTCTTGTCTTTTCTTTTCTTTCTTTCTGTCTTTCTTTCTTTCTTTCTTTCTTCCTTTCCTTGCCTTTCCTTTCCTTTCCTTCTTGCTTTCTTTCTGTCTCTCTCTCTCTCTCTAGGTTTCTCTTTCTCTATCTTTCTCTCTGCAGAACGCTGTAAGCGCACCTTTCTGGAGCGTGAGCGCGCCGTCCATAGCACACAGGCGCGCGCGCGCTCGCCCTGCTGTCTCTCTCTCTCTCTCTTTAAGCTTCTCTTTCTCTGTCTTTCTCTCTGCAAAGCGCGCCTTTCTGGAGCGTATGTCAGAGCGTGCGCCACAGAGCCCAGCCACAGAGTTGACAGAGTTCAGGGGCGCGGCCATGAGGAGGGCAAGAGGAGGACACAGAGTTGACAGAGTTCAGGGGCGCGGCCAAGAGGAGGACAAGAGGAGGACAACGAGCACAAGAGGACGACAAGGCCTGGACACAGAGCCCAGCCACAGAGTTGACAGAGTTCAGGGGCGCGGCCAAGAGGAGGACAAGAGGAGGACAAGGCCCACAGCCACAGAGCCCAGCCACAGAGTTGATAGAGCTCAGGGCCGCGGCCAAGAGGAGAACAAGGCCCAGCCACAGAGCCCAGCCACAGAGTTGACAGGAGGAGGACAAGAGGAGGACAAGGCCCAGCCACAGAGCCCAGCCACGGAGCCCAGCCACAGAGTTCAGGGGCGCGGCCAGTGAGTGTGGCCAGCCCTTTTCTTTCTAAGATAGAACCCCAACAGTAAACTGTTTGGGGAATCATACATTCATACATTCATACATTACATACATTACATACACACACAAACATACATACATACATACATACATACATACATACATACATACATACATACATACGCCATGACACCCAGCCAACCAGATGACACAGCTGATGAGGAACACCTCCCAGACATTGCAGTCGACTTCTTTTAGCAGTACCACCATGGTTCCTGCACAAGGCCCACTGAGCTGACACCCTGAGCTGACACCGGCACTCACTGAGGCAAAATGCCCAGCCCTGAACCGGCCAAATGGCCCAGATAAGCAACTCTAGTAAAAAAATACATACATACATACATACATACATTACATTACATTACATTACATTACATTACATTACATTACATTACATACATACATACCACCATACCATACCATACCATACCATACAAGTACCATGCCATGACATGACATGACATTACAGTACATTACATACATACACACATACATAATCATACATATATATTGGTTGCAAAGAGGTTGATCGAGCAAAACCGAATGGAAATCATGGGGGTCTCTGCAATGAAATACCTTGCAAGCGATTGCAAATTCAATCCCATTGCCCCGTGTGGTCTCTGATCTTCAAGAGTGCCTGGTTCGGCAGTGTCTTTGTGACCACACTGTGACGGTGAATCTTCAACGCCGAGCGGATCATTGTGGAGTTGTAGCCCGCACCCTTTGCAGCGTTGGCTGGCTCAGAGCAGAATAGAAACAGTGTGAAAAAATGCTGAAAATGTTTGCTCAAGAGAAGAAACACAATAAATCACAAAATTTCTTTGAGAATACGTATGGGCGGGGCATGCTAATTTCAACATCGTGACATAGTACAGTACTCGCCCTGAATCTCAGTCCATCACTTCGCCATCAATGCGTTCAGCCACGAAGACATTCCTGGATAGAAAAGAAACATTGCACATTGATTCATCCAAAGAAAAGCGAGCTGATTCGAATGGCAATGCTGCTGCCAAAAGCTCCTCTCGGGCTGTTCTTTCTTTGCCTCTTCTCCCAAACGCGGGACGATGACTACGCCAAAGCCCCTGCACAAAAGGAGAGCAACTATCACAGGCTCAGGTGCAATTCCATGCAATTCTGGTAGAATGCTTAGAGAGGAATGATCTCAAGGTGATTTTTCTTGGAAGGCGTTGTTGTGCTGAGGGGCGTTCACACTTGTAATGTAACAGGGTGTACAAAGGAAATGTTTCATGGCCGCTCAACAGCCAATAGTTTTGCATGCTAATGGTGCTGAGGCTTGTCGTTTGCCACTCGGCCTTGCAGGCTTTCTGATGCTAGGAGCTAGAACGCTAGTAGGGGCTCCTGGCATCGCTACTAGGAGTAAGGACGCCATTAGGGGCTCCTGGCCTTACTACTAGGAACAAGAGAACGCTACTAGTAGCTATGCTTTCTGTGGCTGCTTACCCTAAAAAGGGATGAATTGTAAAGCAGCGATACCTCCCATGTCTTTCTGTGTAATATAATGTAATATAATATGTAGACATGCACATGCACTTGCACCGCAATGCGTCTAGGCGTTCAAACCGCAATATTGCAAGCGCTTACCCCAATGGAAAATAACAGCCATCTGTGATTTGTCACGGAAGGCGGGTTGGACATAGTTGGACTGATAAAACAGTAATTATGCGGTAGTAATTAGAAAATGTCAATAACATCGCATTGATTGATGACATTGATGTTGAAAGCATCTCAAGCACAAAAAGATTTTGCTGATGCAATTCCCCAATCATTGTGCTTGTGCCAGCAGCCTGTCCGTGAGGAACCCACGATACAATCCCTGGTTGGTGGCATGATCTGTACCACAGGCATAAAAGACCTGGCAGCGGGCGCCAGGCGGAGAATGGAAGCTGTTGCTGTTGTTCAATGGTGTTGTTTCAAAGTTGGCAATGTCATCAATCTTGAAGATGTGTTCATCCATGTCAAAGAAGCAAGTATGAGCTTGGCCAGCCAGGGGACTGTTGTTTGCCTTATTCCAACTTCTCCATTCACACTATGACTATGCAACAATCCTGCAAGAACTAGTTCTTCCACTTGATTCCTTCTATATAATCGAGAGCTTGGAGAGGAAGACTTGTTTGTAGTGCAAATGCAAGCAGAATCGATGCAGCTTGCCTTGAAGCCTTGTGTCAGGTTCCAAGCCTGAAGTAGAGCTTTCAGAACTTGTGCAAGCCACTGCCCTAATTTCACTGTGGTGTTCCATATCATAATAGACGCGTCATCCATGGCCTCCTTGCGCACCACAGGTTTGCCTCTGCTCCCTCTGTCAAAAAGGGTCGGGTTACCACCTTTGAAACGCATCCCGCCCAAAACATGCTAGGCAAAACAGTGTGTGCTTTGCACGGGTATCTGATTCTTTCCTTGTTCTCACTGCTCGCAGGGGGAAAGGAGTTTAAGTGCGTTTAAGACTCATAATATGACCCTTGAGATCACAACCTCCATGCACATGGGTATTCAACAAATGCTCAGTGTGTACAGCGGATGTCGGACGAAAAAGGACTTCCAGGTTCCCATGTTCGATGTTAACCCTGCACTCACCACAGCAAAAGGGAGCAGAAAAATGTAGAAAGCTTATCAATATGAAACCACCTTCCCAAATGTTTCTGTGCGCGTCTTTGTATCGCATTGTCAGCTTTTCCAAAATTAGCATCAAAAATTCAATCCAGCACGGTCTATCGATTGTGATAGCAGCAATATGCACCACACTACACAACAAGAGTGCGAAATGGAAAAGGGCGGTCCAAGTATTGGAGAAACTGCCTGACTATTCTGATACTAGCGATGGCCTCCATCCTACTAGCGGCGGCCTCCATCCTACTAGCGATGGCCTCCATCCTAATGGCCTCCAACCTACTAGCGATGGCCTCCAACCTACTTTCTCGCAGTTGCCGTTTGTCTCGCCTTTTCCACTTTCCGCAGCTTCCGTTGGAGGGCCATTGCAACCTTCCAATCAAGCAAGTTCGCAAGGGAATCTGAACAAATCCAGTCCTTTTCGGAGCTGGTGTGGGAGTTCATTCAACGACATTATTGTGCCCATTACATTATAGTTGCGTGGTTGTAAGTGCCTATATTACTGTTTGGCTTGGTATCTATCTAAAGCATTTCAGCCTCTGATACTTAAAATCGACACATACCATACTGTACTGTAGATTGATTCTGTGTGGACAGCCACCCGACTAAGCCATGATATACTGTGGCAAGCACTTGCATGCAAACAGCAGGGCTTAAAAATCAAGACACTGGAAGATTTCATACCTGACTTTCACGGTACTTGTTTCAGCTTGTCGTTTCTCGCTGCAAGTTCAGATTTTCGCAAAGAGAGCAATGCTTTTGACCTACACAGAATGTGCAGCACAGCACAAGAAAGTGAGCAACCGATTCAAGGGCTCAACGTTGATATCCAGCCAGCTTCCCCTCCCAATGCGGGTTTAACCTCCGGATAGTCTGGCCACCGTCCAGGCTTCTTTGCCTGCAAGCATGTGCCCTTGCTGGACCCAAACTGCTCAGCTTTGACTAGAACCAAACAGTGTTGTGCACACATGGAATGCCGTACACTCTTCCAATGCTTGCAAACAATCTTCAACTGGTGTGTTGCCTACTTAACAGGAATATAAAAGGAACACTTGGAGGCAACTGGCAAGCATTGAACTTTGAACCTCCCGATATCATCTGGCTTCGCAACATTGGGAAGTCCCCGACCACTTACTGTGGATTCAGCCTCATAGTGCTTGAAGTGGCTTTACAAAATCCAGACTGGCTCACTTCAAGGTGTCTTGGGCAAATTAGGGCCAACTACAAGGGCTATAACTACAGCTTTATGTTCATTTCAGTTGTCAGCACTGCCATGTGCAGGGTCTGCAGTGGTGGGCCATGGCCACAAAATTTGACGACTTCAGCTGCCAATCGCCACTCGACAGTTGGAAAAGGGGAGCCCAGAGCGTTGTTCACTTGGCTTAGCAGCTTCTTTCAATTGTGGTTGTATGGTTCTGGCCAGCAGAATTCGAACCGACCTCGCAGTTCACCTAAAGAAAGCCCCTTTTCCAGATGATCTTCTATCGGAGCTGCTCCAGATTGATCTCTGAGATTCAGTCACCACGATATCCACCATCGAGAGAGAACTCGGGAGCTTACATGGGCCTAGAACATCCTTGAACCTAGTAGCAAGAAGCTACTAGGGGCTCCCGGCCTTTCTACTAGGAGCAAAACGCTACTAGGAGCAAAGGGCATCACTACTAGCAAGGACGCTACTAGGGGCTCCTGGCCATACTACTAGGAGCAAGGGCATCGCTAGTAGGAGCAAGGACGCAAATGTTCACCTGATGTTCTGCACCTTTGCCGTCGACAGGGCTCACCTTTCGTTATACACAACAGCGGAACACCGCCAGCGCAATGTCGGAGCAAGAGTTCACTGATCTTGTGCACACCAAATATGATCAAATATGCATGTAAGAAATGTTTTGGGTAAAGCATCCAAACTCTTGAAGCTTGACTGCAAACACTGTTCCCTGATGCCGCTTCCAAGGCCTATGTGCCTGCCTAGTCAGTCTCCAAAGCTACTTAAGTGTGCGTATCAAGATGAAAAGCGGTGGCTGGACACCTGCCGTGTGAAATGAACCTTTAGTTTCACAGGCCCGGCCTGACCCGCACATTGACGTTTATATAATATATATATATATAGAGAGAGAGAGAGAAAGACAGAGAGAAAAGAGAGAGAGAGAGAGAGAGAGATGCGATGATGTTCTGATCACCCTCTGAAGTAATAGTCGCCCTTCCAAGGAGTAGTACTGTATGTTTACATTGTAAAGAGTGGAAGATGCTCCATGCGATGAGTTCATCACGAAGAATGTGAGTGCAACAAAGGGACATCCACCCTCTAGCCTCCCAGCTGCCAATGGATAACAGCTCATCCTCCAAGACAGCACGTCGTGCTGCCTCCAATCGAAAAAGTGCAGATAAACCTCGGAAGCTGCACATGACTTCTGAACGGAGCGCAAGAACCGAGAAAACTCACCAATTCGGGCAAAAATCAGCAAACAACATGTCAGTCCTACAAGTATCTCTGTATATATTATAATATATATATATATTATACAATAGTTTTTTAATACCCGGACTATCCTGGACTGCTCCGCACAGGGATAACTGATGATAAATGATAACTGTAATTAGGTTATTCCAGTATCTTCAGTGTTTAGGACCTTGCAAAGGAGAGCAAAATAGAAATAGGCACAGTTAAATGAATGTCTCCGCTGAGGCGCTCATATGTTTGCTCAGCGGAAGGCCAGGTACTCCAAGGATTCTTCAAGAACCGTTCTTCAGTTCTTCTATATTGGCGGGTTGGTGTCTACCCCATCGTGGCACAGTTTAAGCTTCCGGCCAATGGTACCCATCTTGAGTGCCTGCAGGGGCTGCTCGGAGTGGTTTCCCGTGTGCATTCGAAGAATCAGCAGCCCGCAAATAATTGGACACTTGTGTTGCAGCTCGCTAGACAAACCCCATCTTGCCAAAGAATCGAACATCGAAAGTGCTCCTCCAAGTTAAGACCACTGAATGTGTGTGTGTGTGTGTCTGCGTGTAAAATTCACATTCTCAGCCAATCCGTTCTGTTGAAGTACCAAATCCGCCTTGGGCTGCACATAACCATCATGTGAAGGTGATAGCCACGCGCCCACCACATCATATCCTGCATCGATCCATACCATTCAAGTTATCAGGAAAAACAAAGCCGACACCGTTTGTCTTTCATCCCATTACTGTATGCCTAAACAAGAAAGAACACAGTAATTACTGTATCTGTGACGCCCTAACACCCAATCTATTTGTCTGTGTGGTCTTTTGCCTGTGTCTCGGTCAATCCATCTGTTGGCAAGTTATTATAGATTATATACATCAATCATCTATCTCTGTATATTTGCTTGGTTTATCCTGCCGTCCTGGAAGTAGTCTCTGAGACCGTCGAACTCTCAAACAAATGTTTTTGGATGCAAATTGCAAAGGCCAAAATTGTGCCAAGCTTGGGGAGTCCATTCAAGTGCTCAGTCGCCCCCATGCATTTTAAGTTCATCCATCTACTTGCCGGCCTTCTTTGTGAAGTCGATCGACTGCCTGATCCGTTGGCACTCTTTACTCTCTACATCTCTCTACTCTTTGCATTGTATAAGATTTTGTATCTCACGATCGGTGAGAGAACAAAGGCTACTGACTGCTCGATATGCTTCCTTTGGAAAGTTTGTTTCCATGTGGTGTACGGTACCTTAATGAAAATTGTTCAAATTATGATGAGGGACATCGATCATCGGTGGTGCATCCCAAGTGATACAGTGGTATCGCTGCCTGGTGTATGAGCTGCGCATGTCCACGGTGCAAAGGATTCATAGCACCTGTGGTCCTAAGTGCAAAAACATGTCAGCAAATCCACTGAGAAAAGCTGCCAGCATTGTGTTCCAGTTTCAGATACTTTGGCAGTTGGATGCAGTTGGAAGTGTTTTTTCCCGCGCAGCTGCTGGTAGCGGCAGAGAGGGAGGCAAACAAAAAACGGAAGGACCTGACAAAGCCAACAGGGGCCCAGTGGAACAGGTGGAACAGCGTGACAGCAGTTCAAACTACAAAAAAAACAAACTGTATTATAGGAGCAAGAACGCTACTAGGGGCTCCTGGCCTTACTACTAGGATCAAAAAGCTACTAGTAACAAAGGGCATCGCTACTAGGAGCAAGAACGCTACTACTGGTGTGTTTAGTCTAGTGTGCAGTCTTCGGTGGCCAGGACGCACACCAGTCCTGCTCCCCTGCTGGTTTGAAATGATTCCAATGGGTCCACAGTCAAAAACACACCAGGCACACACGATGCTATGCACCGTCCGCGGCTTCAAACTCACATCACTACTTGCCAAACCATCAGCCCATAGAACTTTGCCCCGCAGTCTGCCCCAAAACGCCCTGCCCATCCCGGGCAGCCTCATAACGTGACAGCAACCAGATTCAGCTCCGGCAAACAACAACTTGCCCCAGCGATACCCCTCGCATCAACCACATCCACTTCAGCAGACTTGCCCCGTACAAGCCGCATAAAGCATGGTCCTACATGGGTCATTGCTCGCAAAATCCTGCAAACATCCATTTCATTTTCTGAGAGCGGAACAGCAGCACTGCCAAACGTCCTCAGCCCGCTGGGCATGAACATATATTCGCTGCACTGCAGTATTCCCAGCCAAGGCCCAAGGCAAAAGGGCATCGACAGGTCAGGTGGGTGGCCCCACTATACTTTGCCATACTTTGCAAATCGGTGCAAACTAATGAGACTGTGTAACTTGATCAAGTGTCCAAACGTTTCAATGCACTCTCGATGCCAATTGGCGACTTGTTGGTTGGCAACATAATTTGTGCAGGAAAGGTGACGGGGTTGGTCTACTCATCCGACTCAATGTTGATTCTGAACCACAGTGATGATATTTGTTGGATCGCTGAAAGGACATCGTATGTGGTTGTGCTTGTTGGACTTACCCTTTGGTGCCCAGCTGAATTGGGATGCTGTGGTAAGGATGCCCCACATCTGTGCAGATTCATCAGGCAAATGTTTCCTGGTTCTTTTTCTGACATTCGAGCATCAAACTGTCATGCGTTTGTTTGCAGTCACAGTGGCGTTCTTCAAGGGCCGGCGACCGCTTTGATAAGGCCTTTGGAGCACGTCAGGGGTTGATGTTTGGATTTGCACAAAGGATGGTCGTGGGTGCAAAGCTCAGCTACTCCCAAAGATTTGCGCTTGAATTGAAGGATGCGCATATTGAGGAACAATATGGATCGAACCCCAGCCTTTTGAGGATTCTTTTTGGGAATCAACTAGCGCTTAGTGGCTCTTGGAGGGCCACACCTTCAATCTGCTGAAACATGCTCTTATTTCTGACGCGCACCCGCGCGGGTGTGTGTGTGTGTGTAGTAACCCTTGGAATCAAAGGGGACCTTTAGGTTTGGAACAGGGGGCGTGACGGTCGATTTCCTAGTCACGCCAATCAAGCTATGGAAATCGACTGGATGGAAGTTTGGACGCAAACTTCCGTACCTGTTCCGCTTTTTAGGAAAACAGGAGGAAATGGTTCTCGACACACTTGTGTGTCGGTGCCTTTCCTTCTGTTTTCCTCCAGGCTACTCTAACAGGTTTGCAGGTAGGCCTCCCAACTTTGTAAGGCGTTCTTTAACCTGAACTTTGGCCTCCACCCACTAGATTGGCCCCCAACTTGCTGTCTTGTGCTTCTTGTGCTTTTTGTGCTTCTTGTAACCTTGTAGCACTGGCCTTCAACTTGGTACCTGGCCTCCACCCACTAGCAAGGACCTCTAACCTTGGCTGTCTTGTGTTTTTTCTTGTGCTTTTGTAACCTGGTAGCACTGGCCTCCAACTTGGTACCCTGGCCTCCAACCTACTAGCGATCACCTCCAACTTTGCTTTTGCTGTCACTTTGTGTCTAGCCGCTTAGCCTCCAACCTTAGGTCTTGGCCCCCAACAGCCTTGCGTTGACCTCCAACCCAAAACCGATGGCCTTTAACCTACTATTTCCTGACACCTCAGGCTAAACTCCGGGATGAGCCCGTAGAGTGCCTCCCGTGGACCCGTCGAACGGGTGCCTGTCGTTGTTTCCCTTGCTTTGGAACCGCACGTGCCCGCAGCGGGCGAAGATGGCCTAGGCCGAGAGAGAGAACTCAGATTTTTGTCTTATCTTTGGAATTCCAAGTTGGCTTATGCCTTTACGTGCGCCTCAACGTGATCAGAGCGACCGAAGTACTTTTGAGGTTCATTGGAACGTGGAGAACTTAACCCCCCCCTCCTCCCCCTTCCCTCCCCCTTTCTTTCCTTGCTTTCTGGGGTTTTCCTGAATCAGGATCATCCCTCTCTTTCTATGGTGTGCCCCTGGACGCTTGTTCGTAGCTGGGAACACCTGCCTTTTCCTTTTCTCTCCTCTCCCTTTCTCTCCCTCTCTCTTTCTTTCTTTCTTTCTTTCTTTCCTCCCTTCACCTTCCTTCCTCCTTGGGTGTCCCTGGATGCTTTCGTCATAGCTGGGAGCCCTCCTTTTTGGTGTGTCCTTGGACGCTTGTGTCGTAGCTGGGAGCACCTTCGTTTCCTTCTTTCTTTCCCTCTCTTTTCTTCCTCCCCCTCCCCCCCTCTTTCCTCGCGCGCGGCGTGTTTACAAGCAAACTAGGCTTCTGCAACAGTTTGGACAGTCATCGGTTTGTCCCCGTTCATTTGGTTCCCCTTTCATCGGCCCCCACAGACGTTTTTTCCCTCTTTTCTTTCATGTCTTTCTGTCTTCATGTCTCTTCATCCTCATCCTTTCTTTCTCTTGCGCGTACTTTCGTCCGGACTTAGTTTGCACACATACACGCACGCGTACTCTACTTACAACGAGGTTCAGGTGGCCCAGGTTTGTTACAATGAGGTTCGGTTCATCGGTTGTCCCTCTTCACTTGGTTCTTCTTCATCGGCAACCGCACACACTTTTGCCTGTTTCGGTCTTTTCATTTTCATCTGTCCTTTTTGCGTGCACATGCGCCTTGCTTCCTTTCCGGGCAGGATGGAGGCCACACATGCCTCCCTCCGGGGAGGCGGGTGTTTGTAACCCTTGGAATCAAAGGGGACCTTTAGGTTTGGAACAGGGGGCGTGACGGTCGATTTCCTAGTCACGCCAATCAAGCTATGGAAATCGACTGGATGGAAGTTTGGACGCAAACTTCCGTACCTGTTCCGCTTAGGAAAACAGGAGGAAATGGTACTCGACACACTTGTGCGTCGGTGCCTTTCCTTCTGTTTTCCTCTAGGCTACTCTAACAGGTTTGCAGGTAGGCCTCCCAACTTTGTAAGGGGTTCTTTAATCTGAACTTTGGCCTCCACCCACTAGATTGGCCCCCAACTTGCTGTCTTGTGCTTCTTGTGCTTTTTGTGCTTCTTGTAACCTTGTAGCACTGGCCTCCAACTTGGTACCCTGGCCTCCACCCACTAGCAAGGACCTCTAACCTTGGCTGTCTTGTGTTTTTTCTTGCGCTTTTGTAACCTGGTAGCACTGGCCTCCAACTTGGTACCCTGGCCTCCAACCTACTAGCGATCACCTCCAACTTTGCTTTTGCTGTCACTTTGTGTCTATGGTCCACCGCCTACTAGCGATGGCCTCCAACCTTAGGTCTTGGCCCCCAACAGCCTTGCGTTGACCTCCAACCCAAAACCGATTGCCTTTAAGCCTTTAACCTACTATTTCCTGACACCTCAGGCCTTTTAACTAACTTAGGCTGGCGTGTGGCACCGCTGTCAAGTCAGTACGCATATCCATAAGTATCCATAAGTGTGTGTTAACACCTGTTTCCAAGGTTTGTGCCTAGTAAGTTTGCCTGCCGTAAATCTCACTAGAAGGCTGGATGCTACTAGTGGCTCCTGGCCTTGCTACTAAAATTAGAAACCAAACCAACCATCTAAGTGTGTATCGCCACAGAGTCCCACTGAGGGCTGTGGTGTGATCCCCGTCGAGGGGCGCTGCATGTGCATAGACCCACATCCTGGGGGACCTAACCTGAACATTTCGTTTGCAGTCCTGGACTTCTTTTGACCTCCCCTGATCCGCGGTGCTGCGCGATACCACTGACCATATGCCGCAGGGCTCACTGAGATTTATGATCCAGTCAGGATTTGCACTTTCGGACATGTGTCTAAGTATTCACCTGTACAGTCTGCATGACTAGGTAATCACAGGCGGGACTTATGACTCAGACATTCCGCTTTTCAGTTGCATGTGCTTGTCATGCTCTTGAGTTCTTTCTCTCTTTCTGTTGCTTTTCGTTTCTTGAGGCCTTTCTTTCTTTCTTTCTTTCTTTTGGTTTCAGGTGCCTTTCAGACAAGGTGCGCCGGCCCAAAATCGGCTATACTTGAGTGCCACTGCTGGCAATGCCTGCGGGCCCCCCCCCTGCCTCAGGCCTCTGTTGCTATCCCACCCGCTATTTGGGGTAACAGAAGGAAATCGCACTCAACACACTTGTGTGTTGGTGCCTTTCCTTCTGTTTCTGCTGTCCTACTCCTAGCTACCCGGGCGGTTTAAGACAAAAGTCCCGCTCGCTAACTACTTTCATTTAACTAAGCGGGCCTTTCTTGCCCTCTTCGTGTGCTTTTGTTTTGTTTTCTTTGTCTGTCTTTCTAAGGCTTTTTAGGTGACTAGTAATCGTCCGGAACGCCGATATCGGCGTTATGTGTACAAAGCTGTTGCAAACAATCGCTTCACGGAAGGACAGAGCGCCGATTGCGGCATAGTGTGTGTGTTAACACCTGTTTCCAAGGTTTGCGCCTAGTAAGTTTGCCTGCCGTAAATCTCACTAGAAGGCTGGATGCTACTAGTGGCTCGTGACCTTGCTACTAGAAACCAAACCAAGCTCAAAAACAGCTCTAGCAAAAAGAGGCAGGGGGGGAATGAACACTTTGGAAGGCATTGCCCAACGAAGACCCTTCCATCGTGTTGTGACATGACTCTGGGACGCCAGAGTCACGTACCTGCGAGCTTTTCAATTTTTAACCCATCGTCTCACCCATGTTCAACATTTCTGGTATTCTGACCCAGCATTCTTTCAGTTCCTGCAAGTCAAGGTCTACAATGCAGCTGGTAATGTAATCGTCTAAAGTGGGACTTCTGATCCTAGCTCTTGCGAGCAACCATCTAAGTGTGGACAGGTGGATCTTAAGTGTGGCACGGCCGTGAGTTCCCTGTTGCCCCACCTCGAGTTTCCCCTGAAGCTTCAGTACAGGCCAAAGCTCCTCAGCAATCGGACGTTGAAGGTCTTACAACGCCTTTGATGTGAAGTGAAAACCTGCTTTGGATCAAAGTGGTGAACGACTGTGATTGTTCTACAATGCCAGCTATTTTAAGCTCATAAGCTGTTGCTGTTCCCAAAGTCAACGGTCAACAATAGTTGAGGAACTATACTATAACTTCAGAGTGCTGTCTCCTCAGAGCTCTTGTCATAAGCATCCTCATCATCGCTATCCTCCATCTCTGATGAATGGGAGCGCTCCACCTAGGAATGCTTTTCAAGATGCCAATCCAGTACTCTTCGCAACTCTCACAGCTCTGGCTCAAGAGTTTGGGATTTCACAGCCCAAGTTCCACACAGTACTGACCAAATCTCACACAGTACAGCCCATTCCACCGAAGACCTGCCTGGCCTTGTCGTTCTCCACCATCACATGGGGCTCAGATGAGACATAAGCACGTGAATCCTCTTCTCCACCCTCCTAGCACCAAGGTCCGGAATTGTTTCCCAAGACCCAATCACATGAAAAATCACGAAGGAACTCTGAGTCAACGCCCATAAGATGCAATTCAAGAACCGGTGCAACATATGTGTTTGCCTTAAATTCGCTCCAATCCGACTTGCAGCACACACTGCCAGGCGTTTCAAGCACTAGAAAGAGTGATTCGCGCAACTGACTCCTCCCTGTGCAGACAAGACATGGGCCCCGAACCCATGGGAGCAATGCACTAATGATGCACCAGTGGCTCCGCTCGAGTGGCATTGATAATCCTTGAGATGTACGGCTATGTTTGCTTGTATGTTTCTACATATATATATATATATGTAGATAGAGAGAGAGATACGTAAGAAATATGGCATTGCCCTAGCATCTCATCCTGCAGGTGGCAGTTTGGAGGGAGGTCACCATTTGAACTATCCATTCTGAATGTTTGGCGCTGCTCTCTGATTCTTGAGCAGTTGAAAGGCTTGCAAAACTCTATACATACAGTATACAGATCACAGTTTGACGGGTTGATCAGGGTGGAGATCCAGGTGGGGGGCACACAAGAGTTCCAGCTTGGCCATAGGAAGGACTTTGTCGAATTGGGCGAGAGCGACATCACACTACATCTCGAAAGGGTGCACGCAAGTCACTCCACAGCCAGCCTTGGCTGATACTTCGAGAACGGCACGGCGGACGGTACTCTGGCAATGTGCAATCTTGGTGAAACACCTGCAACATTTGTTGCCAGGGCTGCCAGAGGGCCATTGACTTGATCGCATTGTTTGTCGTAGCAAGTCTTCTTGAACTGGAGTAGCAAATTTTGGATCTACTCATACTAAGAGTCAACCCGTCCTGTAGAGTCGATATGTGCAACTCTCCACATCAATGTGCCCTAATTATATGGAATACACTATATATATAATGAAAAAAGAAATCAATCGTGAAAGACCTTGAACCAAGATTGAAGGAAGTCCAGGATGCACTTCATCAACTGCGCTTCAGGTCAGCTCAGATGTCATGGAGTCACTGTGCTCGTCTGGTGATGCCTTTGCCCCGACACCTTGGAAGAGTTCAACACTGGAAGTAGTGGGTTTCAGGGAACATCACAGGGTCCACTTACACATGGCATGTCAAACCAGGGACTGAAACAAGAGATACAAGTAACAAAAGGCCATGTCGGAAGTCCCCCAAAAGCAATAAAAGCATGTCTTTGGGGAACACTCTCTTATCGGAGAGTGGAACTGGAACCACCACATGACGATCAAAAAATATCCCTTCTAGCTGGTGAATAGGCTCAGATTGTCACGATGAAAAAAGGGTCGATTGACAGCTGTCAGGGGCGGCCAGTCTACTAGGAACAAGAAGCTACTAGGGCCTAGGGGCTCCTGGCCTTACTACTAGGAGCAAGGACGCTACTAGGAGCAAAGGGCATCGCCACTAGGAACAAGAAGCTACTAGGGGCTGATGTCTTTCAATGTTCTATCAATTTTGTTGCAAAATTCTGGTGAAGGTCTCCGGTAGCTTTAAACTGGGTTGGGACTCTGGCAAACATCTACTGCCAACTCACAAACCCTTTGTAGGGTGCGTTGACTAAAGGTTGTTGTTAATGCTTTTTTTTATGTATCAGTTGTCTTAGTACCATTCTTTTTAACTACAATCCAGCTGCTTTGCCTCGCGGCCAGCATCATCTACGCACAACCCATCAGAGTCAACAATCTTGCTAAATGGGCACGATGGGCAAACACACTGACAAGAATAGCCTCCGCACGCAGGTCAAGGTACTGTCTGGAGTCATGGAAGGTGCTCTTACCATCACACCAGATATGTCAATGAGCTCATCCAGCAAGGAATGCATTGTGGCCTTGACGTCTGAAAGAAAATTGTAATGTCTGGACATAAGTACAGGGCGGCCCTGGTAATACACGATTGGACATTGATGAAAATTGAAAGAACACACACTGCACTTTTCAGCCGCATTCCTGGGGCTGCAACATAGGAGGCTTTCACCTGCCAGAACTTGCTCAGATGCACTCACTACGCCGAAGAACGAGTCGACATAGCAAAAACATCATAAGAATCCACAGCAGAGTGACATGTTTGACTATGCCGGATCTTCGCCATAGAAGCTGAAGCCTGCTAATGCATGTGTTAGAAATAACTTATATGATGTATATATATATATATATAGAGCTGGGCACGTTAGATTCACGGATTGCAGCTTCCGTGTGCTTCTGATATGTCAGGGGAAGCTACACACACTGATGGAGAGAGAGAGAGAGAGAGCATGTGTGAAGCTACACCCTCCCTGCTTTGAGTTCTTGGCTTGCTTTGGGCCCTACATCCAATTTTCAATGTGCCATGCTCAACAGTGCGGCCAGGTGCAGTATGGGTGGTCTTATACGCAAAGCTTGGTACATTACAGGAGCTTCTAGTAGCGTCCTTGCTCCTAGTAGTAAGGCTAGGAGCCCCACTAGTAGCTTCTTGTTCCTAGTAGCGATGCCAGGAGCCCCTAGTAGCGTCCTTGCAAAAATACAGCAATTGTCCATTCGCACTCAATTTCCTGGTTCCCAGCTGCGGCAGCTTGGCAATATCAATACGGTCGTCGAAGCAATTGTCAGATTCAAATGCAAAACTGCAACACTGGGTACGCAACGGTCTCATCCATGTCAGTGATGCACTCCTCAATGTGGTCCGCCTGTGGCGTACCGTACCAGAGTATCTAAGGTATCTTGCATCAAAAAAACAAGCATTTTCCCAACTCGGACCGGCAAAAGCAAACAAACTAGCTGTAGTTACCACATGATGTGTGGTGTTGTCTGAGTTTTTGTGGATCAAAACCTCACTAAAGAATCTTGTGAACCTCGAATACCTGAAGAGAAACTATCAAAAGTTTCCCTGTTTGCTGTCAGCGGAGAGAGGCGCAAGTTAATCGCTACCCGCTACCATCAGCGAAGCGCTGGTATCCCCCACACACCTGATTGGCCAATCTTGCGAAGCGCTGCTTCACTTCTGAATCTACCTCGCTCGTTTTGATGGCTTCGGTTGCTGGAATTTATTGGGTCACAGAGTGTCACCAAACTAAAGCTTGGTGGCAGAAAACAGGCTTCCTTCATCTTCGCAAAACTGGAGGAACTTTGTCTGCAGAAAATAAGGAATCTGCCTGCAGCAAAGATTTGCCACTTGGAGGCTCCGCCAAAGTGTGTACACCCCGAAGAACCTCCTGGAATGGGCACAACACCTGGATACACTGTATCGTGTACTATTTGAGCAGTCATGGCACTACGAATATATGTGTATATTCTTTACATGAAAGGAATGTTATATAATATCAATCTACTGGTCCTATTCGGAGTTACAGAAGATATAGGCAAACTCCACAAGAGATATCCTCAAATGTCACTTTGCCATCTTCTTCAGCTTCAAGCCAAAGAAACATATCCAAGAGGTCCTGCAGGGGTGACAAACAGGTCTACGCGAAGATCTCAACAAAACAGCCAGTGTGGGTGATAAGAATGGGAGCTTGAGACTTAACACATCTATATAATAAGTATCGTATACATAGACTTAAACATAGAATCCGAGATTCCCCAAACGACACAAGTTGGCCACTGGGATTGCCGCTGGAAAAATGCGGCCGATAGGCCCGACCCAATCGTACAACCTGGTGTCTTTACAATCTTTACAGCCAATAGTCTTATACACACAGTGTTGCAAAGCGTCTAGAGCAATCACTGCCCAGTCAGTCCTTCTTTGGAACTGTTGGCACCTTACCATCGACCGAATCATACGCTTTAGAAAACTGGGTTTGTTTGTGATTACGTTTCTATTGGGCATCATCTGTGTGCATGCCTTCAAAAACACCTGTTGCACAAATTTGCACAGTTCTTTGCTTGCCTGGAATCAAGGCCAATTCAAAAGCAAACTATTCGTGCTAATGTTCTTCAGTGTCCCACGAGGTGGAATTATCGTCTATTGACTACAAACAAATGAATAATGGCCCAAATCGTTAAAAGGGGATGCGGGATGCCTGGTGATCAAGGTGACTTTGCCACTTTGTAATACAAACATCTCAATGCAACGCACATCTCAATGCAATCTGCAACGAGTATACGCATTCACCAGAGCTCACCAGTGCAAGAGCTGCTACAGAACTGGAAAGGGCAACTTGTCACAGTATCCAAGGGCCACTTTGCATTGCCGTTTGTCAGACTAGGATTGTGATTCTGGAAGTGAGCCAAAAAATGATGTGTTGATATGTGTTGCCAATTCTGTTCTTTTGTCATGTCATGGTTCATTGTTTTACGCTTCGTTTATGTCCTGGTCAAGACCGCTTGAGGTCATTCCATCATAGCCGGCCATGTGGCCACATCTGTGATCTTCTTCGCATAGAAAGGGACCTTCTGCAATTCTTGCCAGTCTTGATGGGTGAGCCTGCAACCAAGCAAAGTTGAAGGAACTGGATGAGTTGCAGTACCTACTAAAGGGAAAAAAAATCCATCTCGGATTTGAGGTAATGCGGCTTCCCCTGCGCAAAACGTTTGCCGGAAAAATAATACTTGAATTATCGTTTTCTCCTAACTCTGGCGTGTTGCTGGATTCAAATGCACCCCCAAAAACAAAACACTACGCAGCCATGGTTGCTGCTGCATTGGAATAATTCAATATTTATTAAGACCAATGCTTGAGTCAAGATGCAATCCCTGGCCAATACCTATATATTCTAAATGTTCGGGCACAGGCTACTGGCTCTGCTCTGGTGATATCAGCCTGTCACTCGTGTTGAGACAGGGTACGGATTGAGATATGATTGCAAGGATGCTTGCAAGACCCACCACGGGAAGTTCCTGAATTTGCTAAATTCATGGGGTGTTCAGTGCTCAGCTTCAATTGGATGATCTTTGCAAAATATGTTCTCTGATTTTGTACGTTATATACAAATTGTTCTTGGGCGATAAAGAATACCATGGGAATTAGCTTCCAGCTTCCAGCCTCATACAAAGAAGGTGAAAAACATTGCATACAACCGTTGATGACTCAAGAAGTTGCAAAGCAGAGCGATTTCACAAAAATTATCCCGGCAAGAGACCCCAAACTGTGTGTGTGAGGTCTGCAAGCAGAAAGTCTAGAGATCTAGACGCGTTGGGGTCCAGAGAGGTGATGGTGGTGATGAAGTGAAGGTGGGTGTGAGTGAGTGTGGGTGAGAGGGAGTGTGAGTATGAGTGAGAGTGGGAAGAGTGAGTGTGAGAGCGAGTGTGGGTGAAAATAA